TAGCCCAGAGGCTGGAAGTAAAGACTTTTGATTCGGACAGATTTTGTTTTCAAATCTTGCTTTACCACTTAGTAGCTGTATGACCGTAGCCAAGTTTCTTTATCTCTTAAGCCTCGGTTCTCCATAAATGGAGACGCCAGCACAAAGCCTATTACACGGTGCCTAAGCACACAATGACAAATACCATTCATCAAGGGCTCACGATTACTAACTGAGTTATAGGAAGTTAAATAGCTGCAAAACTTACGGCTGTGTTTTATACTGTGCTCTTCCGGAGGCTTATCCATATGGACTGTTTGTACATTCATTAAAAACTATACTAGCCAAAGCTTTTAAATACACATCTTGGTACCACTGAGGCTTTGCTTTTTCTCCTTTTATGAATTTCTGGGTAGTCCAAAGGTCAGAAATCGTTTCATTAAACTTACGTTTAAAAGAAAATAAAGACTTACATTCGTGATTTTTGTTTTCAAGAAACTCGAGTTTGAAAAAAAAATCTTGTCTAGTCTTCACTGTGTTGCTTACTGAATTAAGCTGTAAATTCAAGCTTATCAAGTGACTTAAGTATCAGTTAATAGTGATGGTTAACACTTAACAGAGCTTCTCCCATCTGCCGTAACTATCATGCAAAGGTACCGAGGCAACCAAAAATTTATGAAGCAGTTGTCAAAACGAGCAGTGTCAGGTTGCCACAAACTCTGACGTAGCCAATATGATATTAGTGCCTTTTATGAAAGTATCTGCTATAAGTCAAGTACTAGGTCAACCATTAACACTCAGAAACCACCAGGTCCAACTCACTGGACAAATGAGAAACCTGAGGCTCAAAGCTCACACAGCTCTAATAAGCAAGGACCAGAACTCCGCTTCCTCTTTCCAGTTAGATGTTTTGTCAATTATATGACAGTGCTTTAAAAGAAAAGGGAGAGAAACACCTATTCTAGTACCCCAACATGTTTTCTACACCTTTGGGAAGAAAGTGAAAACCTGAAAGAATGGTTGTTTCGTGAGAGCTGACTATTAAGAACACATTAAGGAAATCCACACTGAACAGAAATGAACGGAACCAGCTCATCAAGCTGCCCGGTTTCTAATGGCAAGATGTCTGACTACTGACATGACTGAAACACCACCACCACAGCACCTTCTTTATGGATAAAACATACTTGAGGGCTATCCCACCTATCTCAAGTCAGCATTCATTCCTTCAGAAGAGAAAAAAGTGTCCTTAGCTTCATTTCCCAGGTAAATTTTACCTATAAATCCTTCCGTTTACAAAATGGTAACTCTCTTTTGAAAAAACAAAGGAGGCTTCCTGCTGATCGTGGCAGTTTTCACCCTGTCCACACTCCCTTCCTGTCCTCATTTCTATCAAAGCTGCTTGGCTGTGTCCATTCTAAATGCATTCAGGCCCAGACCTTCAGGCCTGGCTTATCTGAATGACTAGCCAAAAAGTAATCTTTAACAATTAAACTTTAAACTTCAACCCCTTTTTCTTTTCTTGGGAAAATATTTTAGAAATGTCATTCACTGACAAAAAGGTAAATGACCACAGATACCAGAATACAATACTACTTTAATGTGGGAAAATTCCAAAACACAACTTTGTTTAGAAGTAGAAAATCATGGACCTACGTATAACAGGCATATGAGTACACGAGCAGACGTGATCCTTTTACTCCCAGTGGTTGAGAGACTGAGGTTTTGCAGTTGAGATTGGGTACTACACTAAACCATTCAATCAACGAAAAGTTACCACATTTAAGTTCAGGGTATTTTTTTTCTATTGTACTTATTGGAAACTACTAATTAGTACTAGGAGCTCTGGTGGTGCAGTTCAAACTCACCAGCCACTCCTCAGAAGGAAGACTGGACAATCTACTTCCGTAGAGATACTGCCTCGGAAACCCAAGGAGGGGTTGCTATGAGTCAGCATCGACTCAATGGCAATGAGGGTTGTTTTTGTTTTTTTTTTTGATACCACATAACTACACACTAATTAGCAATTTTCTATAAGTACAATAAAAAATACCCTGAACTTACATTGTCCACCATGGTACCCACAACTGCACGTGGCTACTGAGCACTTCAAATGTGCTAGTGTGCACTGAGACGGACTGATGGACTGCTATTGTAAAACACATCCCAGATTTCAAGGTCACCTAGCTAAAAATGAGCACAACCAATGCTTGACCAGCTCTTCTAACGCTCACCCAATTCTCTTTCCATTACAGGACAATCATTCATTCAGAACCAAATGTTAAAGACCCAACTTGCTACCAAAAAAGAATGTAAAATATCTCTTTCATAATTTTTTCATATTGATTACAAATTGAAATGATAATATTTTTTATATACTGAGGTAAACAAAAGATAATATTAAAATTAATATCTCCTGGTTTTTTTTTTTGGGGGGGGGCTATTATTGTTTTTACTTTTAAAATACGGTTACTAGAAAACTCCAAACTAAATTCGTGGCTCGCTGTGTGTTTCTACCAAACAGTGCTCTCTACACAAACCACGCAAACTCCGCTCATCTTCCTGTGATACTTAATCATGACAGTGAATACAAAATATGCAAGAGAGAGGAAAACCTCACTGACACTTCAGATAGTTTAAGACACTGTCAAATAATAGCTTAGTTATCAAGTAAGAATGGCATGTTCTTAAAATTTCTATTAAATTTACAACCAACTCCAAGTACATTAATAGAGGAAGGACTCCATCCTACAGGTGGTATTTTTAGGGATCAAGAAGGAAGTAGAAAAGTAAAGGCCACAAAAGAAGGGCTAAGAGAAATAGCATCTGCTTCTGGAAGGCATTTTAAAACAAAAGCTGTGCAGTTAAATGGTCAATAGATCTATCCACTTTTAAAAAACAGTACTTGATTATTTTGAGTATTGCTTAAAAAATGTCCCAAAAGTCAGCTAAGCAAATTTCTTAAAAAGGAAACTTGTTAAGGTAGGGACTAGAAACTATCAAGTGAGACAGAGGTAAAATGTCTCAATGTACCATATGGAAAACGTAAGCCTCTTCTTAAAAGTATTTACAATTAAGAATTCGACAGTAACCAAACCAGCCAACATGTTTTAGGCACCCTTCAATGTTACTGTACCATAATGCACTGATCAGCTCTTAGAGGAGTAACTAAAATTGCATTCAAAATTCCACAACATCCTAATGCCCTTTCAAAATCTAGAGAGAGAATTATCCAGAGGGCAGTTTTCAAACGCCTTATCTTGCAAAGGTTAAATTAGACAACTGAAAGCCTGCTACCAATAATAGATCCGGGCACGGTGCTCTGTCCCACAAGCACTCTGGGATCCCTGTGCACAACCCTCACAAACTGGGAGGTTTTAGTCCTACTTTGGAGGTTAATTCCTGGCTCAGAGACCCTGACTTGCTCAAGGTCACACTAAGCTAAAAAGTAGCACAACCAAGAGTTGACCCCAGCTCCTCCGACATTCATCCAATTCTTTTTCCATTACAGGACAAACATTCATTTAAAACCAAACGTGAAAAACCCAACAAGCTTGATGCGGAAGGGGAATCTAAGGATCATCTGGGTCCAACCTTAAGACTCTGCAAACACACTCTATGAGAATCAGTTCAGAAAAGGGATACAAGAGAATCAAGGGGCAGGAAATAACTTGAAAGCAGGAAACCAATTCTAATCTAAATGTCCTTGGATGCCGCAGAGTAACAGTATTCAAGTAGAAAGGCCAGAGATACAGCACTTTTTCTCTCTCATGTGATTTTCAATGCAGTAATTGTAGGCTAATAAAATTTTGCTATTACTGTACAATGAAGGCGTTTGAGAATTCTCCTAAAATACAGGTGCTCAAAAACCCAATACATCCAACTGGGTAAAACCAAAAAATTTTCATTAAGTCACAAAAACACAAATCATGTGTGTGTGTGTGTGTATACATATACACACATATGTCCATCTACACGTATGTGTGCGCATGTGTGTATACATATGTGTATATAATCTCGCCTCCACTTCTCTCTGCACAGCCAGGGAACAGGCCGGGTGAGAGGACTGCCAACCTGACGCCCTGCGTCCTTCTGCTCTGGAAGGAACCTTCGAGGGCACGACAAAGGCGCCACCACTGCACCTCGTTCAACCTTCAGGACACCGCTCGAACCGAGCAGTTCACGCAAAACGGACGGCCGCGGGCGCCTGCCTCGGGGCGCCGAACGCCTCCGACGCTCTTCCCATCCATCCGCCCAACCCGCTCGGCACAACGACGGTCTCGCGGCCAGCAGAGGCCGACAGGCGTGGGAAAGCCGCACGGGGAGGATTCAGGGCGACGCCGCAGGAGCCGCGAGACCCCCGGCCCCCGCGGCTGAGCACTTGCCAGGACGGCTGGAAAAATGACGGCTCGGGTTCATCTCCGCGCTCTACCACGGCGAAGGGCTCGCAGGAAGGGGCGCTCGGGCCCCAGGCGCTGCCAGAGCCCGGGCTCGACCTCCATCTCCACCTCCACCTCGACGCCCCGACCCCGGCCCAGACCACGATCACGATCCCGTCCCGATCGCCGTCCGGCCGCGCTGACAGCGGCGCCGCCCCCACCTGCCCGCCCGCTCGGGAAAGCGCCGCGGCCACTTCCTTCCCGCTTGGCGGCGGCGGCCTCGCTGGGCCGCGGATCGCCGGCAACAGGCCCGCGGCGACGACGCTCGCACCCACCGGCATCATCTTGGC